GATAGATAGATAGATAGATAGATAGATAGATAGATAGATAGATAGATTTTCACTGTTCATTCATCTATAGATAAGACATCTGGGTTGGTGGCACTTCTTGCTGTAGTAAATATAGTGGAAGGTAAACATGAATGTGCCAATATCTCTTTGGCAAGAAAGGATAATAATAGATGATAAGAAAGGATGCCATACAGGCAAAAGGATTCATGAATCCTAAGAGGATATAAAGATAATTGTTTTTCCAGTTTCAACTCTGTCATGGCTGTTTCTGTTTTGTGTGGAAGGTAAGTGTATAAAAATAATTGAGTCAGTGTACGTGTAATAGAAGCTTCAGAATTTAACCTGTGTGGTTTCATTGAGATGCATGTAGAGTGCGGGACTGGGCAAGTGTTTGAGTGGCTGTGATAATCTAGTTGTGTGGGGGTTTTGTGTGAGTGAGTTAATATGGGGATTTTTATTTTTAAGAATGATTCTTGGTCCATATTAAAACATTTTCTATTGTCTAAAAAAAAAAAGCAAGAAAACAGAATAGAGAAGAAGAGGAAGAGGAAGAGGACCTGTCTCATATGTTGTCAATGCAGCAGAATGGCATGTGGAGCAGGAAGCAGGTAATGGTAGCAGGTGAGTGTGAGGGAAAGACCTCTGTGGGAACAGGAGGTCCAGTTACTCAGAGGGAAGGGATAAGGGAGATTATTGCACATCCAAGCCAGAAGTAGGGTTAGACATGATGCTAAGACACAAACTTACTTTTTTCTCCAAGTAAGCATAGTCCATGGCTTTAGAGTCTGTGGTAATCAACTTTCATTGTCAGTCATGGGGGGGGGGTATTAAGAATCTCCTTGGAAACACATCTAGGTGTGTCTGTGGGTGTTTTCAAAAAAGGTTTAATGGAATAGGGAAGACCAGTCTTAAATGTAAGCAGCATAGTTTCATGTGCGTGGAGTCCTTCCTGGGACGAATAAATACCAAAAATCTGGGGTAGATACCAGCATCCATCCCTCACTGCGACCCGACAGTGAGGTCAGATGCAATGTGACCAGCTGCCTTGCCTTGTGACTTCCCCACCATGTGGGCCTCAAACTGGGAGCTAAAATGAACCTTTCCTTCCTTCAACTGTTTTTGTGGGGCACCCCTGAGATGCAGCGAAGCCTGTGCTCTCCCTGAGTGGAGAAAAATGATCGGCTCTAGAGAGCACAAGGCAATGAAGCTCTTTCTGCCTGAGTGCACTGACCTTTGACAGCCATTTCATCAGCATTTCTGGAACACAAGCCTGTGAGGCCTCCTCCGCAACTGCTCCTATGAGCAGGGCCCATTCCTTTTTGGCTCAAATCCAAAGCATCAGTCTCAAACCTCCAGACTGGGGAAAAGCAAAATCAAACCCATAGATTCTGGGAATGTAGTTAGAGAATAGCTGTAGGAGACAACGAACATAGCAGCCAGACTGCATGAACCCCAGGAGAAAAATGATTCTCTGCCACTGCCTGAAAAAACAATTACATTTTTCAATATTCCTCCAGTAGAGACTCAGATTTAGCATCACAAAATGTAAAAATCATTGGCCTGAGCCTACTTTTGCAGTTTGGCTGGGTAATCCGGAAAAAGTGGCTATGCACACACGCACGCACACACACACACACACACACACACAAGAAAATGCCTTTGAAACCAGGTTACCAGGATATAAAGACCGGGCAACATTTGACTAAGAAAAATATTTATTTGCAAGAAATGGAAATACAAATGCATTACAATTTCAATTTTTTTCAAACTAAGTACAAGTATACTACAAAGCTTACTTTCTTTTATTTTTTGGTATTTAATTAGCTAAGATGAAGGATAAGCCATAAAACAGTGCAACAGGTCAGCTGGATTTAAACAACGCTGATTTATCTAGAGTCTTTCCAAAGAGAGCAAAAGTCAGTTGCCAGTCTAGGCAAGGAAAGCTCATTGATGCCTGCATCAGCCTCTGGGCTCTGCTCTCCACTGCTAGGGAGGGTCAGCCACCCACAGTGTGCCTGAGTGCTGGTGCTTCCTATAGACTCCTAATATGTTTCATCTGAAAGGTAGAGTCCCTAAGCTGTGCGGGTCATGCGTGTACAAAAGTACCATTCCCATCCTGCTGTTGAGCAAAAGACAGCAGAGAAATGGAGCCCGAATCTGGATTCCCTTCACCCAGATGCACCCAGAAGCCTCAGGAGCTAGGATAAGAAGGGCACCAGACAGGCATGCAGAGGGCATTTCAGAGAGCTGAGCACTGTACAGTGGGGCCGCTGCAGTGGATAGAGCTGATTCTGCCCAGAGAGCCAAAGATCATCTGTGTGTCTTCAGAACCAACTCCAGACACTACCATATTGCCCCCCCACCCAGCATTTACTTCTTATGGCAATGAGCCACCCTTGCTTTCCACTTCAGTCAAGTTCAAAGGCTCAACGCTAACCTAGCACAATACTCAACATCTTAGAAAAATAATCAGGAAATACGACCTTCCTTCTAGAAACCGAGACAAAGGCAGTCCTGAATTTTATGCTGCCACAAACAGTTAATGTTTTTCTCCCTAGTGCATTGTGCTGACCTATTGGCCCAGAGGCACAGAGTATTAATTTTCAAATGGGCTAGTGCCTTTGCATCCAGAAAATGCTCTGTGGTGAGGATTTAGAATACCTTTAATCCTGGCTGGCCACATTGTTTTATGTGATTGCACCTCTATTTACAAAATGGTATTTTCCTAATGGATATAACCCCATTTCTTTTCCTCTGTTGGGCAAATTTAACACTGGTTCACTTTTAAGGAACCATCTCTGAGTCTATGGACAAAGCACCCACCCACAACTTCAATCTAATGCTATATAGTAATACATGACACCTTTCAGGGACAGGAAATTCCTGCCATCCTGGGTTCAGATATAAGGCACACTGGAGGCATGAGTACCTAGAAGAGGAATGTGTATGTGTGTGTGTGTGTGTGTGTGTGTGTGTGTGTGTGTAGGAGGAGAAAGGAAGGGAGAAAGAGGGAGGGAGGAGAAAGGAGAGAAAGAGAGTGCATTAGTACTTGGGTCTTCTGAATGGTGACTGGCAAACTGGTTTTCCAAGTCCCTCTTATTTTCCAACATTCCCAACATGTCTCAGGAAACCTGTTTTTCCTTAGTAAAACTGCAAAGTCCAGGGAGTGAATGAATGGATGAGCTAGAATCCGTCCATGTTGGTTCCTTCCAGCCCCCACCTTACTGCTTTCCCCACTCTCTCCTGTAACTGCCTCTGGGTGGTGGGAGCAGAACTTACCAGATCACCCTTCTGCTAACTGCTTCTGTTACAAGTGTTGTAATAAAGTGGTTCTCACTAAGACCCTACTGTTCATGGCTCCACAGGTCCTGCTGCAAGAGGAGTGCCAAGTGCTCATCCAGGTTTCTCAAACACTTGGCTCAGCAGGAGCAAATTAGCAACTAAACACCTTTTCTCCCATTTCCATGCCTCCATGTTGGCAAGGATCAGGCAGATGTCCACTCCTCAAGTAGGGACAAGATGTCTCCATTTCTCCATGGGGTTCACATATATACCTAACAAGGCAAGTATATCCACAGAAGCTGGCTCAGGGATACTTCAAATTCTGTTTTGCTGCTTTTTTCTGGGTCTGAGAAAAAAGATGGGATAAAGGGGACATAAAGCGTGGGAAGAATTTTAACAAAACACCTGTGGTGAAATGATGGACACAGAAGTAGTTCAATATCCATGCTGTATATAGAAAAAATATTCATAGGCACTGTGGGGCATCCAAGTGGAATTGATGATTAAAAGGGAGCATCTATTGACCTAGTATGTATAGTCTGTAAATAATGTGGCCCCCAAAGCTGTTTTACTAATCCACAAAATCATTCCTATGAACTGAATGGTTATCTAATTTTGTCTGCACTGATGTTAGATTCCACCCCCACCTCTGCCAGGAAGGAGCAACTGAGCTCAGCTGTCAGATTTTTATAGAGCACTCTCTTTGTACGAGCTACACTCCACAAGAGTCCTGACACTTCAAAGCCTCTTCCTCCATGCTGCTGCTGATTCTTCTCATTTACAGCATCTACTTCCCAGTGTGAAGTTGGGAGCTGTGAAAAGATCCAGGAGGAGGGGGCAACTGGGTCTCATCTAGGGACAAAGGGACTTGTTCTCTAAATCCTTGCAAGATACCTCCATCTCTAAAGTAATTTTAAAGTGAAGGGGCACCTGTCTATAAGGCAGAGAAACATAGCAAGCTTCTCTAACAGCTGGGCATTTTCACAATTTCAGTTCAAGGTGCTAAGGTCTGCCACTATTTAAAACCTTCAGGGGCAACCGTAAGTTATTGACTGGTCTGCAGGACAGCTCAGTTGGTGAGAAAAACTGATATTCTAGCCCTAAACCTTGAACAGAAAGTGTGTGCACAACCATTAATTACTTGTAACCTATCCTGTCTCATCCAACTCTGCTGGGTCCACTGAGCATCCCAGAAAGATCACTGCTTAATCCCCTTCACTCCCTGAGCCAGGAGCAGAGGGCAGAGGTTTTTCTCATAGAGTGGCAGTGTTGGCTGCACAGAGCTCCTTTAAAGGGCTGTTTGAGTTCTCTGGCTAATGTCCCACGTCTCTCGTTACAGATTCTATTCTGGAAGGCCAATTTCCCAGAGACAAAGGGCCCTGCTGTCTGGAGACAATGACATCCAAAAGAGTAGGGAGAAAAGAAAATAAGGTCCTCAGAGAACTAAGGACATGACTAGACAGTTCCTTCTCCCTCCTCATCCATAAATGGGGCCTCCACCCCAGCTCTCCAGGCACATCAAAAAACCAAGGTTCAGTTCACCAAATGGACACATCAGCCTAAAACCCCACTTCTGCTCTTCAGTGCAAAGTTTTTCTTTTTCATCACACAAACACTATTTCATCCTAGTTTTTTTCCCTTCCTAGGCTCCCACAGGCATCAGTTTTTAAATGTTTATTATGCATAAACATATGGCATTAAAAAAAAAAAGGGATGGGCCAGGCCCAGAAAGAATAAGGGAAGAGAGAAGACCAAAAGAAAGGAGGCTGTCACTAGCCAGCCTCTCTGTACAGCCCAGGTACCCGAGCCTTGCCTGTAGGGGACAGTATCAGCCCTGTAGGCAGTAGGGTGGTCTTGAGCTTGGTCATTCCCTATGATGGTCTGAGCAAACCAAGTAGGGAGCTGCTCATGGGCCCAAACAGCAAACGTTAATGACATGAAGACCTACCTACATATAGCACAGAATGTAAAGGCCAGTATGGCCATAGCCTCTTTTATACAGGCTCTAATGATCACAAAGATGGTGATGATAAAGAGAAAATGAGAGAGAGTGAGAAGCCAAAAAACTAAAGGCCCTTCAGCTGCTGCTAAAAATAAAATACAAAGTGTAAGCACATTTCTTACCTAAAATGTTTTACAAGCTAGGGGGGTGAGGGAACACTTAAAAGAGGCTTCTATCTTATACAATAAAAGCATAATTTCCATTTCTTATTTGTATGAAAGAGGAAAGGATTTTTTAACTACAAATTTTACTTTTTAATCATAAAAAAAATAAAAGGAGTTTGGGGGTTAGTTGTGTCTCTTTGGGTGAGCTGCAAAGTAGCCAAAACTGACTGCGAAAGGTACGACTGTGGATGCACAAATGTCACCAACTCCAGCCCCCTTAGTTAAGGTAGGTAGAGAGAGGGCAGAAGGGAAGGAGGGAGGTAAGGGAGGAGGGCAGTCAGGTATGCAGGACAAGCTAGCAAGGTTGTCAGCAATGCCTACTGTCAGGGTCAAGGTTTCCCATCTCTGTCACAGGAATGCAGAAAGCAAGTGGCCATAGAGCCTGGAGCCTGACCAAGACGACAGTGTTCCATCATTCCCCATGTATTCATCCAACAGGGGACACATGCTTAAGGGGATTTCCCGACAGCAATTATTTTATAGATCTCCAATTTTAAAAAGAAAAGAAAAGGAGAAAACAAGGCATCAACTAGAAAGACTAGGAGTCCCAGATCCTGGGGACTCTCCTGTTCCAAAGGCCAACAGAAGACTTTGCTTGTCAGAAGGGGTCATGGAATCTTTTTACTATGGTCAGCTGGGAGCTGCAGCAAGCTAATAAATACTATTTACAAATGGGGAGGGGAGGCCAGACAGACAGAGCTACTGTCCCATGGGGATGCAGGCTGTGTGTATTTGTGTATTTGTGTGTGTGTGTGTGTGTGTGTGTGTGTGTGTGTGTGTATAGGGGCAGGGATGTATCCTACAAGCAACACAAGGAGAAAGATGGCCTGGAGGAGAAGAGCCTGATGCCTTCAGAAATTGCACTTGCGGCCTGAAAATATGGTGAGAGTCCCATCTGCCTGTGAGGGCATCCCATAAGGACTCTGGGGTGCAGAACGGAGAGAGGAGACTGGAATGATGCTCTGGTACTCTCAGCACAGGCAGGGTCATGCTGGAGTCCTTGTGAGCAAGAGAGGGCAGGAGTCAGTGCTTTGCCACTCCCGACATGTTTGTGGCATATCTGTGGCTAAAGTCTGCGGTGTCAACTGAACACAAGTCATGTCTTCTTCAGAGGGGTTACACCTCACTGGGAAGAACCAGGCAGTATCATAGCACTATTGGTGGAAACAAGCCTGCTCATCCCACCCCTACCACACCCCTAAAATAATTTCCTCTGGCAGTAAGAGAAAGGGATGGAGAGGCACCAGCTCCCTTTTGCATAGAGCCTCGGGGACATACAAGCAGAAACCCCCAGGCTGGCCTCCCATTAAGCCATAATAACACTAGTCCACATCCTCAAGATCCAGCGGTGAAGGAGAAACTTATGAGCAAGGCAGTCTGGGGATGCAAAGATGATGTAAGGAGAAGAGGAGGGTGGAAATGGCTCCTTAGAAGGTGGCATTCACTCTCCTCTCCAGTTCCACAACTTTGAGCGTTTCATTCCCTTCAAGTTTGCTGCCGACCCTGTGAAGGCATCAAACAGAGAAAAAAGTATTAGCCACCAGCTTTTGCTAAAATTCTCAGACTCCATATTGTGATTCAGTTGCAGCCTTGTGGGCTTACCCTGGCAGTGTTTTAAGCTCCAAGTCTTTGCTCCCTGGCTCTCTCACTAGTCACCTGTGCACCTCCATCCATATTCCCAGCTTCATCTGGGCCCAGAGGAGACCCATGGTAGTTTGATGCTGATTTATTTTAAATGGCTTCCAGGGGCGGTTACATGTTTATTTAACGGTCTCAGTGCTCTAAGTTATGGGAAGGAGAAAGTAGAAGGCTAAGGCTGGTATCTTCTCTAGGATTAAGAATCTAGACACGGATTTTTTTTTAATGGATCAACTTAAAATAACATGAGATATAGACTATAAAATAAATACATGCTCAATTGTGAATCAGCTCATTAAGTCTCCCAGCATTATGACAGGAGTCATGGAGGCTTTATTGTTTAGGAGATGTTGCAGTAACCAGAGGGATCAGAGAGGGGCTTCCGTTCACTGAACGAGGAGAGCAGGCTGGGCTGTGAGCCCCGTCAGCTAGCAGCTCAGCTTATCAGGGCTTTCAGCCCTGGCTCCAGGTTCTTTCCATAATGGGAATCAAATTAAGGCTGTTTGTCTTGGGGTACTGACCAGGTTTGTTATAGTACACCGATGGGGCACGGTCAGTACTAGCGTTAAATAAGGACATGTCATGTATACATACAAAAGTGCGCGCCATTATGGACTCTGCTGCACAGAGTTAGGAGAGAATCGAAATGAAATCTTTACTGCCAATCCCGGAGCAACCTCATTTCTGGGCCACCGAGGAGCATAGATTAGCTAATTCCCCAGGCTCACCACACATCACCCAGAGGTGTGTACATGTGTTTCCTATGCTGATCAGCGGCCCCTTCCAGAGTCCCCTTTAACAACAGTACCTTGCGATCACACCAGCCATTATGTTTTCAGAAAAATTCCTACTCCCCACCCCCCAGCTATCTGAAAGAAACAATGTGTGCAGAACCAGGACCAAATATGGATGATTTTCAATGTGGAAAAGATGCACAGTGTTTCACCAGTATAAATGTATGAATGTATACACGCTGGGCGTCCCTAGTCCCCAGGCTTAAACTCTGAGCTGCTCTAAGAACTAAAACTTTCTTATTTATTTCTAAGAAATAAAGTACATGTTTAGACTTGGGTCTCGTGCCCAGGAAACCTCATTATGTATATGCAAATATTTCAACACCTGGAAACTATTCCAAACACCTTCTGATCCCAAGCATTTCACAAGGGCATTTCACCTGCAGTTACAGCTGGACCCTGTGCACTGACATATAAATCATTAATTGTATTCATACCCAGCATAATATTCGTTTACTCTCTAGTTAGAAGGAAACTATAGAATTGGACTGAAGGTATATTTGCAGAACGAGCTCTCTGATGTCACCAGGTGCCTTTTGGAGACAGGAGCTCACGTAGCCCAGGCTAACTTACCGCGGACTCATTATGAAGCTGAGGCTGGCCTCGAATTACTGATTGTCCTGCCTCCTCTTCCTAAGTGCTAGGATTAAAGGCATGTGCTACCACATACGGCCACTCTGTAGCTGTGGTGGAAAATGACTGACGGGACCCACATCCCCTCCTGCTCTTTGGGGCCATTGCTGCCAGCTCTGCACTGATGATGTAAATGCTAGATTAGTCCAACCTAGGCCTTTTCCCTGCTAACGGCCATCAGCAGACTCTTCCCAGTGCTTAAAACAGGTCCAGAGTGTGTGCCCTCCTGCCAGCGCTCACTCACACTCCGCTGTCAGCCACTGGGTCTGTGCCCACAGGACTCACAGGTGCTGCTGCAGCTCCAACAGCACAGACTTCTCCAGGCTTGTCTCATTGGAGAGAATGAAATGGGGAAGATCCACCTCTGGCAGAGCCTCAAGGCCTGAGGAGGCCCTGAGCAGAGAGGAGCCTCTGTCCCAGCCCCCAAGCTCCCCAGCTGAGGCCGGGCTGGACGACTCCTCCAGGGGAGAGTGTTCCTCATAGATTAGCAGGTTTCTGGATCTCACTGAAGAAACAAAAAAGCAACAGATATTAGCAAAACACCACAAGGCCCACACATTCCCTTTACTCCAAACACCCAAGGCCAGTGGCAGATGACAAATCAACACGCTCTCATCTCCTGGGATGGAGTGCCAGCTGGGTCTGGCTTTCTATAACAGCTTCAGGTTTCAGAGTTTATGCATCAAAAATTATACCAATTATACAGGCTGGAGAAACATAAAAGCAAATAAGCACAAAGCCAACTTCCACCCTCACTGCCTTTAAGTGAAACTTCTCTCATCCCTACCCATAACTGTCTCAAAACTACCTTGAAAAACAATTCAAGGAAAATGGGGGTCAAACACTTGGAGTTGTTAAAACCCAGCCAAGTGAGGAGGCATCTCCAGAAAGCAGGCCTTCAGAGTCTTCAGAGACAGCACAGGGCCACCCCAGCAAGCCAAAGGCAGACAGCCTCTATTGCACTATGGGACAGTCACATAGATGGTCCTGTAACCATTTTCCTGAACGCAGAAACTGTGCTCTCCTTAACTTCCAAAGTTTGAAGCCATGTCCCTAGGGAAAGAAACTCCCCAACAAGCCACTGAAATTATCTGAATGGAATGCCATGTTATGTATCTGGTCTAGATATACCTAACTACTGAAATGCATAGACATTTTGAGAATGGCAGAACTGCCTCTGTCTCAAATTCAGCGCTTTACGACTCTGTGTGTGTTGTTACTAGCATAGCTGTGCCGCTCTGTGTATATTCCTTCCTTGTCAACCTCTATTTTCTAAATACTCAAAGGACATCACCGATCAAGGAGAATAGAATATGCTACCTATGTGAACATGAGAGCATCTGAATTCTTTAAGTCTCGGGCATAAGAGAGACAAATTCTCTAACTTTGCCGCAAACTCTTACTGCAATAGCATATAATTCCACTCAAGAGAGATCACGAGGTGTCACAGAAAGCTACATGCCCTTCTTACTCTCTGGTCTTCCAAGATCCACATCACGCCACCCCACCCCCATATCATAACCCAAAAAGAGGTGTCAGAGCTTATCAGAGAGCAAGTCTGGAGCAGTACTGCTAACGACTCTGTGGCATTCTTGAGCATTTCTGGTGCTGCACAGGAGGTCCAGCGGCCACCCCCAGAACAACCCCACCTGCAAACCAAGATGCTCCACTTCTACACATCGGGCCTTCAGATGAGAGTCGTTGAAGAGAGCTGGAAAAGCCAATTGCAGGCAAACAAACCAAGAGGATGACTTACCCACAGAGGCTGTGTACGGCTCTGACAGGCGATGCTGGCTGGGCAGAGCCATCTTGGTGGCAGAAGGATAAGGCCCATAGCCTTGAAAAAAGCTGCCAAATGCAACGGCAAAGCACAGCACAACGACCTGGAGGTAAGAGGAGGACATGGGGAGCTATGGAGCCCCGGCAGCAGAGAGCAGACCTGCAGTGACAAGCTGCCTGGGAGAAGAAAGAACATGCTTCTGCCAGGGAACAGGTCAGACCTTCAGGCATGCCCTTGCAATGACATGCAGAGGGGAAGCCCTGCATGTCATTGGAATGGGACACACAGTCTCTCCAGCTTCCTTCATTCTAGGCGTGTTCAAGGTAGTGGAATCCGGAAATAAGGGGTTGGCCTGAGGGAGTCCCCTTTGGGAAACTCACCATGAGGCAGGTGCCAGTCTGTGTGCCAGCTAGCTTGCAGGTTCGAGAGACCTTCCCCATCACCAAAGTCTGAAGCTTCTGAAGCTGCTGAAGGAGAGTTCTGCCAAGGTGACAAATGAAAGCCAGAAAGGGGCACATGAGATGCAGATACTTTGAACGACTCTCCTATAGAAGTAATGGCGGCTTCACGCCTGCGACTGAGTAGGGTCCTGAGGTGCTGTTTCCTTAGGGGAAAGACACTGCCTGAGGACCACACCTGCTGGCAGCATCACTGCAGAACCCTCTGGAGCTTCAGACTCAGTCTTAACAGCCTATCCTGTTCTTTCACTGTTCTGGGCAAGAGAGGAGCCCCCAAATAACCCCTAACAGGGGTGACACTCTGATTGGATCATTACCAAAGTCTCTGTGTCACCTCTCTCCAAGTTCATCTGTTCAAACTGAACCTGCAACATGATGGGTAATAGACAGGGGTTGGGGGAAGGGGTGGCAAGCAGGCCTTGAGAGCGGAGCTTTAATAGCAAGCTTGGTGCCCTTATAAGGGGCTGAAAGTAGAGTTCTTCACTTCTATTACTCCAGAACACAGCTAGGAGCTACCTTCTTCTTATGCACCAAAAGGCAGCCCTTACCAGACACCAAATCTGCCAGCACCTTGATCTTGGCTGCCTCAGCCCCCAGAACAGTAAGAAATAAATTTCTGTTGTTTCTAAGACACTCTATTGTGTACTGTTTTACAGTAGTCTGAACAGACCAGGGCAGTGGTAATTACCAGGAGGCTCATTTCACCAAGAGATGAGAAACACTGATCTATAAAAACTGAACAGGAGAACGGGAAAAACAAAGACCAGCAGAGAACAATTGAAGGAGTGGCCAGAGGTGGTGGTGATGACTGGAAATGGCCAGTGCCTCAGTAACAAGTATACACACAGCACTCTGCATAGGAAGTAGGGAGAAGGAGGAGAGAGGGAGAGAAAGGTGGCAGTGTGGGTGTTATTCCCCAGGACAACTGTGAAAGTTCAGAGATGAGTACAGCAGTACATGCTCTGTGAAATATCAAGATGTGGTCTGTGAATGTCTCTGCAAATCCTAAACCGAGAATGGCAAGACACGCAGAGATCTTGGCAGCACAGCCTCCTGGATTAGTGTCTCCCCGGAATTCAGCGTGGTCAGCATGAAGCACTGCAACCCCTCCTCAGCCTTATCTGCTCTGCTCAAGGCCAGGTGTTCGTGACAAAAAAAAAAAAAAAAAAAAAAAAGGAGATGTTTTATGAGAAAATACAGTCTCTCAAGTATCAAAGATTTTCAGAAAAATGCACACCATGATGTAATGTTTGAGAGTCACAGAAGAATTCTGGGATTTCCTTTAGGGCTTGCTTCCCATCACAGCCAATCCCCTAAATGGCTTTCAAATGCTGAAATCACACACAGGTTTTTCCTAAGATTTGCAATTCTACTCTAGCCAGTATCAAAGAGAGCATTCTCTTAGTTTAAGCAAATCAAGTGCGGGCTGGCTTTAAGGTCAGTTTTCCCTCTGCAGCTTAAGTGGTGTTGGGATGGATGGAAGAATTGGAAGAGCCCTCAGCACACAGGGTAGAAGCTTTCTGATTTCAAAAAAATGTCCCTGTGGTCCCATCTACCCTATGTTTCTGCCTTGTAGAATAATCTCAAGTCAGCAACAAGATATTTACCATGAAAGGCTATTTGCTTAATCATACTTTTCATTTTGGTTATATAAAAGCATGACCAGCTGTGATTAGACATGACCTGTGTTTATCAAAGTAGGCTGTGCTTTAAAAACACACATTATGTTGCTCAAGGCTGAGAAATACTGATAGCACGTCTATTTTAAATTCTACTTTAAAATTCCAAAACCAAGAATTCCTGTGTTGCAGTACCTTGCTTCTGTCATTGAATGTATTCTCTCTCCTACCAAAATTTCCTCAGAACACCTCAACGCTACCCACCAGCAAAATCCCTACCGCAGCACCAAATGCCGAGTGATTTATGCCTGGCCACTGGCTGGGTAGAACTCATTCTGTGGCTTGAGATTCTGCCAGCCACAGCATGCGTGGCATAGAATGTCATCTATAATGCCAGCCCCCAGTCCCTCGCTTGGTTCTCCCTGAAGTCCTGAAACATAAATACAAGTAAATCCGTGAATGGGATCACATCTTCTAGGGCATCAATCCTAAGGGCTTGGCTACTAAACTCCAGCAGGGGCCTTACTGCTTCCAGTGTTGGCTGGCACTGGGTACCTCTACTCTGCCTTGAGCACCTTTGTGCCAGGATACAATCTCAGCTGTGCTCTGCACATGGGTGGTTTTCCTCTCACCACCCAGCCTTCAGCTAGACAGAGCCATCCCAAGCTGCACCAATGCCATCTACTTTACTCCAGAATCCTCCTGTGTTTGGAGGTAATGGCTATCTTTTTTTTTGCCTGTTTACCATCAAATATTCCACACTTGCTCTCTGCCCAGCTTCTACATTCTTGTGAGATGCTGAGAAAACAGACTCCCCAGGACAGCAGAAATACTCCTCCCTTCCAATTTCTGGTTGGGAATACTGAGATTAGTCCCCCTTACCTAAGACAAATATTCTCCCTGGTCCAACCACTCCCCCCCCACACCCCTCTCCCAGAAAAAGGGCCCTCTAACAAGGGAGATATAGCTAAGCCCTTTGGTGGAATGAATGCCACAGGTCTAAGTCAGACCACCTCCCAAACCTCCCAGTTACAGGTGCCAAACGCCGAAGGTTTGGGGGAGGTACTGAGGCCTGGCTGGAGGAAGCTGTGAAGGCTGAGCTCACCACTGGCGAGCCTTCACTTTGCATCCATCGGCTTATCCAGCCTCGAGGATGATCACACACTGAGTCGGCTGAACGGAAACCTGGGCATTTCATGCTCCTGGCTCCTAACCGCTTATAACCCAGCCCTTTAAGATGAACAAACATGTAGTTTCAAATACATACTTCTAGTTTGGAATTCTGGCTGAGTGCAACAGATTGGTGATGTGCAGTTTGCTGCTGCTTCTCCTGCTGGGGTTAGTGAAGGTGGAATGAAACGATACTGTTCATGTGTGTGAATGAGCAGCACTCCAAAGGCCCTGCCAGTCAGCAATCCTGAAGCATCCCGACAGGGAAAGCAGAATAACTCATCCACCTCAAGCATTCACATAGGTTCCTCTGGGCCAACAAAGACTGGGGGATTCATGCATAATCCTACAAAAACTGTCCTTCCAACCCTACAAAAAACAGTGAGTGAGTTCTAGGAACCGACTGTGACGCAATAATGAGTAGGTGCCCCAGAGGACCATAGCTAGTGAGCGCCCGGCCAAGGTGTCAAGTCAAACCGCCGGCCTCCACAGCTTGCAGACCTTCTATAGGAACAACACAGCCCCTTACTCAGCAGCCTAATAAAATTCACAGTCAAAGATTTCTTAACACCCAGTCACATTAATGGGATATGGACAACAGCCCGTGGACTGTTATGTACCATGAGACACAAAATGTCACTACTACAAATAACCACAGAAGGTTTGGCTGTCACAAAACCCAGGTGAAAATAAAGGGACATGGGAAGCAATCCAGTAGTGAGGCGTGTACCAGCTAACGTTCAGTAATAATGACAAAAATACATGTGTGGGGATACACACTTGTATATATATATATATATATATATATATATATATATATATATGTATATATATATATATATACACACACACACACATATATATATAGTGTGTGTGTACCTGTGCATATATGTGTGTACTTATGTATATGAGTAAATATGTATGTACATTTATGTATGTATTTTGTGTACTTGTGTGTATATGCACATTTCTATGTATATGTGTGTACCTATGTGTGTGGATATATATGCACACGTATGTATCTGTGTATACACATGTGTATGTGGATATATATGTATGTATATGTAAATGTGTCTGCTGTATGCATTCATCGTGTTACATGTGTGTGGAAGCGTGTATATCTGTAAGTGTGTATACACACATGGATATGTATGTCTATATGTGTACATGTGTATGTATATGTATATCTGTATATGTATGTCTTATCTGTATCTGTATATGTACATAGGTTTATGTGTATATACATGTGTGTATGTATATACGTACACATGTACACATGTATATGTATGTAAATGTGTGTGTGGTGTATATGCATGCTTATGTACATGTATGTGTATTATGCATATGACGAAAGCAGAAAGAAGACCATGAAAGGGGAGAATGGGTAATGAATACAGGTGACTGGAAAGCAGAAGGTGAACAGAGAATAGTGGCTGAAGAGAGCAAATAAGAAGCAAGTACAGTGAGATATATACACAGTGCCACAATGAGCCCATTGTTTATGCTAACTTTAAACCACTCACACCCAATGCAGGGAAATAACCCCTTGCAGAACATCTATAGGTGTGTTAAAGATAACGCGAGTGACAGCCAGAGGGGCTCAGAGGAGCCTGCACGGCTTTGGGGGCCACGAGGCTAAGCCCAGGATTTATTTAAATAAAGAGAAAAGATGAGACCTGTTACCCTGTCAGATGCCAAGTAGACGGGTGCTTAGTGATGCTCAGCCGCGCATAAATGGCAGGATGAGAAGACTGGCTCTTCAAGACCTCACCATGACAACTCTGTGCCTCTAATCAAGATCTTTAAGTTGTGCACTTCAGCAGCTCAGCAAAGCGAGTTTCCTTAGCCACAGCAGCTAACAGAACCAGAGAAGACGACTGCCTCTGCCTGGGGAATCTGGTTTGCTAAAACAAATGCATCTCTGAAAAAGAAGCAAGCTTCTTCCTCAGGAAAGCCTAGGAAAGATGGATTATTCTGAGGTGATGTGGGACAGTCTTTGATGCTACTAGGACAGCTGTCACCAGCTGCAGCATTGAAAACTTGGATGACAAAGCCAGTCAAGCACCCTGAAGGACCTGATGTAAGAAAGGCAGGGACCAGGTGAAATTGAACTATTATTTTAAAACCATAGCTATGAAAACAGCTCTAAGACACACAGCTGTGCCTCCAAAGTTCCACACGCACCTCCATTATTATTGTGTTTGAAATCATTACCGAGCCAGGCCAACTACGA